AGCAAACCTGGTTGTCGATGACTTGGAGTCTGGGGCGTCCCGCTTTTCTGATCGAGGGATGGCCCTCGTTCCAGCAACCCCGGCTGCATTTGGGTTTCGCTTACGATTCTTCAGCCAGAACCAGAGCGCAACAAAGAAGATCAAGGCAGCGCCAATGGCTACTGGTACACCGACTTTCACACCCATCGCAGTTCCTCCGCTGGTACCGCTACTCGTGCCGTTGCAAGTTGATGTGATGTTGTCTGCCAATGTGCCATTCGCGACTTGGGGGCTCAGCCAAAACTTGCCCGCGGCATAGTCAACATGCAGGTAGTTTTGAGAGAGAAAAACACCACCAAGGATAGGGACATTGTTGCCTAAATCGCTCAAGCCGGAACCAACGGTGGCCTGGATATGGGTGTTGTTCGTAACGGCGTATCTGCCGCGAGAGTCGGTTCCACGCTCGTGGGAAACCAGCTCGTAGTGAGGAATAACAGTGGTGTAGCCATTCGTAAGTTTAATCGTAAGGGTTCCGATCATCGACTCGAGACTGGATGGATACGTCGACTGGCCGTATGTGGTACCGTTGAATGTGGTGGTGTGGTTGGTGAAATTTTGGAATCGGGAGAACATGTTCGGAGTGAAAGTGAAGTCGTTTTGAACCGTGTCGATACAGGCGGAAACTCGTGTGCCGATGTCGCTGAAGAGCGAGTGGTCGCCGTCTTCGTTCGTCAGAACGATGTCGGAAATGAGAACCTGCAGAGGACACGGCACAGACGCGCCCGCTCCCCACATGTTGAACTCGGTCTTCTTCGTCTCGTTGAAACGCGCTTCGTTGACACCGCCGAAAACAAGCTGGCCATCACGGGGGTAGAGCTCGGAGGTTGAGCCGTAGTCCAAGCTCCAAGCCGACGTCGGTGTGATCTTGTGGTCGACGAGCAGGTCAATCGTGGAAGATTCGGGACCAAGTGCCAGAGCACTCTTGTTCATGGAGTCATAGTCCGCCCAGATTTCGAAAGGGTAGCCGTAGACCACTGCCGGGCCATCCGTGAAGTTGGCGGTGTCGTATCCATGGAGGACGGTTGTGACGCCATCAGCAGGTTGTGCATCAACTACTCTGTGCAAGAAGTCAGCAATGAACGATGCACTGCGTTGAAATAGGCCACCTACGAGACATTCCAGTCCTTGATGTTGTAAACTTGAGTGAAGGTGTCTTTTGATGTATCATAGACACTGCCAGATGCGCCTTGGCAGCCGACGAACGCCAAGGTGTCCTCGTTCGGGCAATCGAGAATATTCCTCACTCGCGTATTGTTAAGAATAGTTGACATGCGCATGCCTTGAACCTGGCCACCAAGCGTGAGCTTGACGCCGCGGTTGGCACCGATGCCATTCGGAAAGGTAACGTTCTGCGGGGGGCCAAGTCAGTACTCCACGATCACACAACAAACCCACCAAAACACCAAAAGAAGAGAAACAGACGAGCCGTAAAAAGTGAGCGAATGACTCGTGAGATGTGGTTTTTTCTTACTTTTATGGGTAATACTAACGGGTCGACTGAGCAGTCGTCCGCCTTCACGGCGGGAGAAAAGACGCTGGCCAGCAGAAGCGCCGCCCAGGGCGTTGAGGGCAACAACATCACGAGAAAACGCGAGTACGAGGCAAGATGCAACTGTTGTGAGGCATGACGGGCATCCGGCCAAACACATAATACATTGGGGTCTGTCTTTTGACGGCAGGGCGCCCCCTTTTGACTGCTCTTGTCTGCCCACCACCCCAGACGGGGTGCAATATCAAGATGTCGACTCCTTGCATGTCGCGCCAGGTTACCTAGCCGGAAGGGGGAGACGAAACCCACCGAGAAACTCCCATGTTATTAGAAGGGGCTCACGACTTTCCACATCTGTAACTCTATCCCCGCTTCAGTTGCGCCTGGGGCCGTTGCGAGTGCGCTCGGAACACACTCTGTTGGGGGCTATCGTCGTTGACGACCAAAGAGGAAGAACGGCTTGGGCAGACATTTCGAAAAAGTCAAATGAGCTATATCAGATGAACTTCTATAGAAACGTTTCAATTTACTCTATACTGGACTTATTCATGTTATTCAGACGAAGAAAAGCTGTTGTGCAGTGGTTCCTGTCGTTGGACCGTACACTAGTCATGAACCTTGTTCAGGCACCACAACTGCATGCAGTTCCATGTTCTTGGCGTCCGGGCGTCAGGGTAAGATTAGGGTCGTATTACAAGCATTTTTATACAAGCCACGAGTGCCTGGCGAGGCGTTGTAAGGCGAGTTCTGCCGCTTGCTGGCGGCTGCAATGAATCGCTCTCGCCGAGCCGGAGGCTTGGGCAACCCTGACAAGATCTGCATAATGCCCTCGCAAATGCCGCGATCAGCAGCGATGCCCGCTGGAGCTGTTAATAAATTCTGTCTCAGGTATGTTGACAGAACCCCAGATGCTAAATGTTCATAGGGCTATACAGCTCTGGCAGTCAGAGACTTGTTCACGGCTTGATATGAACTGTCCATCTGGCAACACAGGTTTCCTATCACGGACCGAGTTGTGTCTTCCTTGTCCAAGTCTCAACGTCCCATGTCGCGGGGCAGGGATAAGGGTTTCCTCGCTCTCGGGAACCCCTAGCTTCGAAGGCAAGTGGGAGGACGTTGATCCGTCTCCATGGTCGTCGGCGCACAGCCGGATCTGATCTGTTTTCCGCGAGTTTTCTCGAAGGAAATCCACCGTGTCGACATGAAAGTTGGTTGAGTTGATTGCGCTAGGCGCCAGTCGCCAGTCTGCCCAATTTGCCACCGCTAAAATGTCGTCTAAGCGCTTCGACCGTTGCCAAAACAGGGGTCCCGGGTGTGGTTCCAGCTTTCCCACGGGGGTCGGATAGTTCCAGGACCGACCCTAGCGAATGGGTGCGAGATGATTACGTTTTCAGTGAGATGAAGTCAATCAATTCTGGCAGCTGAAGGTGAGGAAAACTGAGCACGTGGGCGTTGATCCCCTCGCTCCATTGTCGCCGAAGCCGTCGGCCAATTCGGACGCTTCGGTCGAGTTTTTCTGAGCTCGCAACTAAAGTTACTAAACTCTGTTCGAATACGGCAATGAACACCAGGAATCGCATTCCGCGCAACCCAATCTCGTTGATCGGCTCATCGAATCGACTACGTATCCGGACTCCGGACTATCCCAATTCCCTCAGTGTCACTGTGTCAACGGTACCAGCAGGCTGGTGAGTCCAGAGCTTGGTCCATAGGTTATTTTGGCGATGTGGAAACGATGGGGAAAGTGACCGCGTGCACAAGCCCGGCACCCGTCCCACTGCCAGGTCCAGTCCAGAAAGGCATCAACTCTGGCTCGGTTAGAGATAAGCGGCAAGGGGGAAGAAATCAGTAATTCGGTTAGGCACTGACAGAACCGTCGTTTGGCCAAGGCCACGCAAGATTTTCCAGCGGTGAGTTGAGGTTTCTCGTTGTCTGATTGGAATTCATACGAACAGGTTTCATGTTGTTGGCGAGTGTCCGAAGCTATCTCCGCACTACCACCAGAGTTGACTTTGCATCCTACCCCAAGCACCAATCTCGGCAGGCTCTAACAGAACTCTGCTCCGAGTAAACAGACTTTCTCCAACGGCGTTTTGCAGCTCTTGCGGTCCAGTCTTCGGCAATGTTGAAGGAGCGCGTTTGAGTCTACGACCGCGACATGATAGCAGGCACATAAGCTTGTCAGCCAGTCGTCTATCATAGTGCCCAATTTTTGCGCCACAGCCATCCACCGCGCATTCGGTCCCTCAGGGATTGTAAGCCGACACCGGCTCAATGGTCTAGTGGTATGATTCGCCCTTCGGGTGCTTGTGTTCTTCACAACCCTTGCGCACAGCGTGAATGGGCGAGGTCTCGGGTTCGATCCCCGATTGAGCCCTCTTGACATTTTTGAACGTTGAGCAAACAACAAACAGTAGCAGCAAACAAATCTTTTATTTTTTTTTGTCAAGAACTTTTTATTACGCAGATAAATAGTAACAATAACAGAACGCAATTAATAGGATGCGTTTACGTTCTATTGCCTGATTAGTAAATCAGCATGCTATTATTATTCTTCTGCCTATATGAGTAAGAAGCGATTTTTATATGTCTTGTAGAGTTTGAGAAAGGAGTCTCTGTTTGTCTGTGTCTTAATTAATACCTAGAAGAACGGAAGAACACTTGCTTGCATAGGTAGCAATTACCTCTCACGGCACCTGAGAATCTATAATTTTCTTACTTTTTATTTTGATCAAACAAAACCACTTAGAAGATTTCATGCCGAATGAACTGCTATGCTCACTCAATTCACTCCCGTCTCAGCTCAGTGTTGTAGGATATGTGAAACAGAGCAAACAAAATGTTCCACAGGCTCTCCTGGGCCAGTCCTGTTCATCCCTTAGTCCTTGCCGTATGGGATGTCTAGTTGTTGTAGAGACCCGCGGACAAATTGAAGAATGCAAGGGAAACTTCGACTTTGAGATCCGTCACATCAACACGCTAAGTCTAGACGAGCCTGCAGACCCTCTTGCATGCGGGGCTCGCCCTGATCACGAGAATGACCCACGAGCATTGCCCGCTCACAATCCACGATACCCTCTCGCCCTCCAACGGTCCTATGGCGCAACGGTAGCGCGTTCGACTCCAGATCGAAAGGTAAATTACACTCCGGGGTTTCGATCCCCTCATGACACCCTCATCATGGTGATAGGTTGCTGACAGCGCTCAGGTTATCTGTTCAAATCAGGTTGGGATCATTCAGTCATTCTCTTTTTGGCCTTGCTTTTGACTTTGTCGCAGATGGGGCATAGCTCTGCGGTGAAGACGCTTTACAAACGCACCAGCTGGCGTTGCCGAGAGCTTAAATCAGAGTCTGAGGGATTTCACGATGTCGAAAACAGAATCATCTCCGATGCCAAGTAAAGTGTTGTCTTGTCTACCTTATTCCTGCCTCACAAGGCGGGGTTGAACACGCGGCACCGGCTCGGCATTCTCATGCAGGCGCACAACGGCCGCTCGCCGCCCGAGAGCAGCCCTGCGGGCAAGTCGCGTTTGGACGGAACTGCCAGCTGAAGAACCCGTCCGTCTCATTCGTCAAGACACCGCCAAGGAAGCCGGTCTCACTGGAGAGTCTGGAAGACTGGTTGAAGATCTCTTTTGAAGAGACAGTGATCTGACCCCAGCCCATGTCGACGAGGGCATCGATGCTCGTACCATACACGTACTCCTTGAACCCAGCCCAGCGGATTGCCGACGCACACATGGGGCAGCTCTCGGCGTTGGTGTAGAGCGTCAGATCCCCGAACGCGAGAAGAGCATCTGCGGGCGTCATGTTGTAACGTCCCTGAGGATCCGTGAAGATGGCTGAACAGTTATTGATCGCTACCATCTCACCTGCTACTAGTCAGCATTGTTCTCTCACGGCAGTTGCAATAACATGTTGCTCTGCATACCATGAAGCGTCGGGTTGCCTGAGCCCTGGTTGTTGTTCGCGCCAGTACAGACCAGCTCCCCCAGACCACCGACCGTGTGGTTCACAACAACAGCCCCAAAGGCCGCGAACGGGCAGGGGTTCGGTAATGCGAGGTTTGCCTGCTGCATCCAGTACGCGCGGGTCGAGGCATCAACCCCATCGTCCGTCGTCCACGTTTTCCATTCCTGGGGAGGACACTGCGGGAGGGCGGCGGGCATCGGGACCTGCGGCTTCGAGTTGCCGCAGGTGCTGCAGGTGTGCGTCTGCTGCTGTTCGCAGAGCTGCTGTTCACAGCATCGCCCTACCGACGGCAGCAGCAGCAGCAACAGCTGGCTGAGCGTGCTGAGCCTTGTGAAGAGAAGGCGCATGTTTCACGTGGTCCTGTGAGGCGGGAAGCTGCGACGCGAAGCTCAGGAAACAGCCAGATGCGGCTTCGGAGGTGACCTGTTTGGGGATAGCGGTTGTACCACGGGCGGGAGTGGCGAAACTCGGGTCAATGCTGGTGCATCTTTCCGCTGTCAAAGCTGGTGTTGATGGTGGTTCACGGAGGACGTAGCATTCGGCGGTATTTGTATCTTCTAGGAGTGTTGGACAAGAATTCTGGTGAGAATTGGTGGAGATTGAATGAGGCGTTCATGGCTGCAGCTGAAGCGTCATGGAATGTCGGTGTCTACGTTGCATTTGGATCCCCGCATGTGATAAGAACCTTGCAATCTTTGAGATAAGCGCCATGAGAGTGGGACGGTAAACGAGGCTATCTATCCTTCTCTCCGAAGATCAGATAGGAGAAGTTGTCGGTGCGATGGCTGAGAGCAAAGCCGCACTAGGATTCAAGAGCCGATCAAGAACCGGGTTGACCCCGGAGCGCCCCGGACTGCTCCCGGCGCGAACGCGGGGCCCGGCGCCGGTTCCTTGACAAACCTCCGACGGGGCGGCATAGCCTCAAACGAGCAGCACATAGTCTGAAATGGACTTGAAAGCTATGCAGTTAAACTCAAATACATTTGGTATCTATGATATTACAATGAAACTGTTTTACAAGGATTATATGTCGCCGCAGCGTGATCTCCCGCAATGAGAACATCGCGATGGTTGTGGGTGCTCCCCCGTCGTAATTGCTTGACCGTAGTACTCCACCTCGGTTTGTTCAGGATGTTCAGGAATGTCAGGAAGCTCCTCATCAAAATTCCTGTCTTTTCTTTCCAACATTTCAATATTGAGTCTGTAATTCGTCTTTCCAACGGCGTACGGATTTTCGCCAGATATTCCGTAGGGGTTCGTCGACCTCCATGATAGATCGTATGGTTGAGGTGGTGACATGGGGTCCTCCAAAACCTTAGGCTTAGATCCGCCGTAAGCGTACATATCTCGATATTTTGCCGGAGAAATTTCGTCGGTCTTTGATGGGGGCCCCCCGATGTGATCGCGCACGTAGTTGTCGCTGAACTGCGGCGGGCTGGTGCTCCTGCCAAACTTTTGATATCGCCCCATCTTATATGATTTGTCGTCGGTTCCGACCGAAGAAGATCCCACGCTGTCCTTCGATGGCTTTGGCGAGGACCACTTGAAGAGTTTGAAGTTGGGAAACCACTTCTCCACAAGATTGCGGATCATAGGCAGGCACGCGCAGACGATGACGACACCAAGCTCAATAGTCGTCCACCAAACCACCGGAACGTAGTCCCACGTCGGGTCGATCGAGTTGCCGAATACCGCGAGAACTTGAAGACGGATGATAGTCGATATGAAGCCGACAGAACCGAGGAGGAAGATCACAGCGACGGAGATCTTCTTGTTCTTGTTCATTTGCAAGCCCGGCAGCATTGCTATCGGCAGGGCGAGTATGATGAGATCCTGAAGAATAGCGAGAGCTGAGTTGGCATACGCCAGTTGGTTAATGTCGAGACAGCCGCCGGTGTGAATGTCTTTGTTCCAAAAGAGTTCGATCGGATGGCACGAGAAGATGGTCAGAAATCCGATGATGACCTGGCCCAGTACAAGGAATGCAATCAAAGAGTAGGCCGCCATCCGAAACCTGGGTACCGTAAATATGCGTAGGTAGAACGTGACCAGAGATAGTTTCGCGAACAGAAGCACGAAGACGTAAACGATCTCGGCGGCATATAACAATTGCAATATTTTCGTCAGTTGTCCGGACTGCAGATCGTAAAGATGTGTCCCGAATCCCATCGTAGCCACTGGACTCTGTCAGCACCTAAGTATGTAAATTCCAACCGGGGAACTTACTTATGATCACAAGAGAGAACGGCGCAATCGCAATGACCTGATATTCTCGTCAGCCCGTGATTCTCGAGCTCGTTAGCTGCTTTTCGACTTACAATGGCAGCAACAATCAAAGCATCATCTGTGCTCCAAATCTTTGCAAAACTCTTCGCGATAAGTCGTAAGCCGATTGCAATGAGTGCGGTAACGTAGACTGTGACCAGAATGGCGAGCATCTTCGTGGTCTGGGATTCGTGCGGCAGGTTACATTGCCTGGCTTGAAGCTTTGCCAGATCTGGACCATGTTAGCTTGTAAGACCCCTCGACACCGAGCATCATAATCATACCTAATGAGTCCTGCATAGTGCAATTCGCGATCAAGCAGCTCGCGGCGAGCTGGCCAAGCTGCGAACTAGCACATGAGCAAGTCGTATTCGTCAGGTCACAGCCCGAGCCGGTGATGGACTGAACGAGACAGTTCAACTCGATGGGATGTTAGTAGTGGTATCGCATATTCGTTCGAGAAATACTCACGCCGCATGTTGAGATATTACTCAGATCTGGTAGCTGTCGCGACACCAGCTGGTTCTCAACAATATGAAAGCCTTGTCCATTCGCCCCGACGATACCCAACATCGAAAGCGCAAACAGTATCCATCCCAGGCCATTAAAGGCCGTCGACGATGTAGAGAGCCGCATATTGACCGGTATTGATCTGCTATCGCCACTCGCTCACCACTCCATGTAACCAAAGAGTCCAAAGAGAGTGGGCCCCCTTGGCTGCGTGCTCGAAGTTCGTGCGGGCAGGGGAGCTAATGTCGCCAAGTCGCCGCTCCGGGCGGCATGTATCTTATTTCCCCGGAAGTTGGAAAGTATCGAAACCTAACGCCGTAGATTGAATTAAGGATGTTGACGAGCGGAGACCTAAGAATGCATCATGAGTGGGGAGGGTAAGTCGTTATCAACCCTTCCCCCGGACACCTGTTCGCCTTCGAGCCTTGACACGTCAAGGATAACTGGTCTTGCTTCAGATGCCAGATGTGCTGCATACTGGTGGGCACTAACGGAAAGGGACACCGGCAGGGAAGGACAAAGCTCCTCCCTCTCATTCTGCTCTCCTCTGCACCTTCAGCAAACGTATTCATCTAGGTTTTGGGGGTTTGGAAGTTATGGGATGAGATGGGATGGGAATTCGAGAAGCGGTAGATGCGTGTGGGTGATGTGAGCACGAAGGATGCGTGTGCGCTAGTGTGTCTCTGTGCGCACATTGTCGAGATGGTGTGTATGTGATTCGTGCCTCTACACCAAGTTACCATACGAATGACTATCGTTGAGCATCGCCGCATGATAGTTGCCTCGCCACCGCAAGATATGTAGCCAACGCTCGGCTTGGATGCCGGTACATCGCCAATAGGGGGGTTTAGAGTTCGGACGTGCGATTCTAGCGTGCATGCAGCAACCATGGTGTCGGTTGTCATGTTTCACGGGAACCTGAGCTCTCCCATCTCCCACTGGGCCGATCAGGAGACGAGTTATCCAAGCGAACCGTGCGTACCCGTCATCTTCACGAATACTTACAACCTGGTGTATAGCTGGACATATTGTGCGTATTGTCTGTGGATACGGTTGGTACAGCGTCAGGTATGTTGGTCCCGGCCCAGCTTCCCCGCTCGCGATCCTAGTCTCCATCCGGATGCAGCTCCGGGGTGAACGCTGTGATGTTTCACACTTGGTGTTTCGAGACCGGCTTCGAGAAGGGCTGCCAAGCACGCACTAACTACCGACCACACAAGCGTCCACGCACCAGAGTTAGTCCTGCAGGCAGTATGTAAGCGGGGTCGTTTGGTCTGTGGCTCAAGCAGAAACTCTATTTAGACTCCGCCATCTTCCCGCATTCTTCTTCTAGCTCTTGTCTGTTCTCGTCAGCCAACTATCCTCTCAGGAGCCGTTTCTGACGAGCGACGAAACTGACGCATCCCAACGGCATTGGACTGATATTCTTCTTCCCTACTCGAAACCGCGCTGTCAATGTCCGCATGCACCCACTTCCTATTCGCCCTGCTGATCGGGCAAAGGGGTTGATGACAAGTCCGGCTCACCTCCTGCTCAAGCCTCCCGTATGGCCTCCGCTGCACTAATTTGCCAGACGCCCTCCTTCCTCATCACCTGGGCACAAACATCCCGATGAACTCAACTTACGCCATGGCTTCCTGAGCAAACTTCATGACTCCTGGAAGAACCCGGTCTTCATCCCGCTCTCCTACCTTCTGGAAGCCCAGCCCCCTCAACCCGACGATCACAAATCTCGTAGTTCGTGGCTTTCGGTGATGTGGGGGCAGAATTTCTTCAACTCCGAGACGATGCTCCATGCAAGCTGCGGAGGCTTAGCACCGCACATGCTGCGCCGATGAAAGTCCTCGGAGGAACAGTTCCCTTTTCGTGAGCATTTCCGACGGACGTGGCTGCCTCCGGTGTGAATATGCGACAGCATCAATTCTCACATTGCCTTATTTCTGCATATGAACTCTGAATTCTTGTGCGATCTCTGAGAGCTGAGTTCGTGCGCGGGATCTCAGGTTTTACGCAACGGTGAATCAAGTCTTTTTCGGTCCTGTCAAAAGTCGTATGTCGCAAAAGACACATAAGAGTATGAATAATGCAAAGAGAGGCTTATTCGCCGAAAGAGTCGAGAATCAGTCGAGAATCACGATGACATGACTTGACGGGTGAATTTCCCGCCCTCCATGCCGCACGGTAAAACCATCGAGCAGAGTATCCCCAACCGTTGGCCAAGGCTTCAAGGGCACGGACAAGAAATGTTCAGGATGTTCCTCGACATGGCGCAGCCAACTTGATAGCATGGCAACTCGGTCATGGGGATCTGAACAAGGTATGATCGACCCCTTTTTTTCACGAGACAGCCACTTATACGAAGTTCCCTCCCATCCTCCATGTTGAAGATTCAACCAACCATACTGCGTCAAAGACTAGCGGCGATTTTTTCGGGCATAAAAAACTCGTGTTATCAACTCAAAGTCGGGTGATGAACGAAAGCAATTTAGAACCTTGATGACATTAGATGGCTTAGACTTTCCGGCTCCAATGAGCTTGAAGCTCCTTCTGAAATACGAATACACCGCGAAACTCTAGTTGCCATTGCTAGCCCCTCGTAGCTTGGCAATCCTGAACTTCGTCTTCTCAATGACCGTCTCCTCATCCCAGATGTGAGTAACACTGGGAGTCTTGTTCACGGTCTGTGCCCATTTGTAAAAATTAGGGGTCCTCCTCTCCAAGGATGTAAGGAGGCTCGGCGGGAGCAGCTCATGCTGGGAGAATGCGAAGAGTCTAAGGGTGAACGATCCAGTCAAAGCCTGTATCGGTACATTAGCATCTCTCATATGATCAGAAAGTTCCCGCCTCAGGGAGCGTGCTGTCGGCAAAAGTAGCCCCGAGCTGCAGATCTGTAAAACTCACCTCAGCCAGAGTAGGCTTGTCGCTGCCACCAAAGTAGGGCGCAGCATCCTTCAGTTGAGGCTCAACCTCCTTCGCGATGATTTCGACAAAGCTATTGGCGACGGCGTCAACCTCGGCGGGTGACTTGGCCGTGTACACCTTGAAGATGAGCGGATTGGCCTTGGAGAAGTACGCATCGACGAAGAAGTTGATGCGGGCGCGACGGAGGGCGGCGTCCTTAGAGTTGGACGCCGGCAGCAGGTGCGAAGGGTGGGCGTCGGCGAGGAACTGGGCCACGACGGCTGACTCGGTGATGATCTCGCCGTCGTATGAGAGCGACGGAACCAGCCCGCGGGGGTTGACTTTGAGGTACTCCTCCGTGCGGGGGACGGCGAGATCGATGATTTCCTCTTCGTACGGGAGGCCGAGCTCGATGAGAGCGATGTGCGCACGGTGAGCCCCTGTGTGGTTGGTTGCACTGAATCAGTTCATGATCTTGAGTGTGTGCCACCCCGTCTCGTGGGACGGGTCATGCTTAATTCATCTCACACGAGGGTGTTCAGGTACGTGACTAAGGGGCTTGTGCCAAGTGACGAGGATGACAAGAGTTATTAGTCGACTAGTGGTGTGAAATTCACATACATGGGCAGCCGTGGTTGGTGTACAGCTTGATCTTGGGCGCGGAGGACATTGCGGGCGGGGGTCGTTTGTGCGGTGTATGGAGAGGTTTACCAATCGATGAGCTATGTCGATACTTGGATTTTGGAGCTTTGGCTGGCTGTCGATGAGGTCGATGGTGAGGCAGCGTAGTGTTTTATGGTATCGAAGTTGAGTAACTGATTACCAATGGCCCTATGAGATGAGATGTTGCACCATTGGAGAATCGATGTCGTGATGGATTTCTTCACATGAGGGGAAACCCCTCTAGGAAAACCGCGGGGACGCGGGGCCGGCGATTGCGACATGGTAGGCTTGGCTTAGAAATCAGTCGGCGGTCGGTGCTCGATGGGGACCGAGAGGCTCGCCCAATAGCCATACTTTACTATCTGTTGGCTACCGCATAGTACAGCTTCACAAGACACCAAGACACCCTTGCATGTGCATTAAAATGTCCACTTACCAAGCCGATGCAGGCGAGGTTTCCCCGAGCGGGATAGACTGGATAGACTTCCGCCGTTACGGTGGAAATAGTATCCGCATCCGTGCGTCCCGTCTGAATGGCAGCGGTCTGGACCCTCCGAGTAGGGCTGAGGATCCCTGTAGAGACGACAGCAACCCCAAGATCTTGAGACATGAGGGTAACAATCTCCATCGAGCCGCAAGCATGTTCTTACACATTTACTATGCGTTAGTTGCGCATCACAGAACGCAAGAATGCCCAGACATACTAGGCATTTAAGTGTAAAGACTCAAACCCAAGCTCTTTCACAGGCTATCACAGGATGAGAAGTTTCGTATGTTTTACTCACGCAAAAATTATAGTCCTTTTGCTATTAATGATCCATCATAGGTTCAAAGATTACGCAGTGTTATTAAGAAGGTGTCGTTGAACTTTGGTCAGCGCTAGTGAGGTTGCGGCTCATCATCAGACATCAGCTTATAGTTTCATCCATCAAAGAGTAACAACTGCGAATCTTATTAAGTGTCGAATAGAGATTCAGGATGAGATTGTGAATAAGTCATAACCGTATCAAATCGTATAGTCTGAAAGCATACGGACGATAAAACACGAAGCAATCAAAATGCATATCAAAGCACAAAGAGAGAGTCGTTGTCTTCCCAGACATTCATCCTGAAAGGAATTTCATGAATTGAAAATCAAAACCGAGGTCCATTCGTCCAAAATACAAACCCAAGTCGATCCCCTCCAGGGTCACATATGCAATTGTCTTACCTTCAACAGCACCTAGCGACCGACAACAAGCATCTGATCTTGAGATCGTAATCACCCTGAGGTGACCCGCCGCAGGTTTTTTTGCCATTAGACTGCTCCTCCTTGACACAATCAAAGGAATCAACCCCATCGCAGACGAGAGAGCCCGAAAGAGCTCGTTCCGTAATTCTTCTCACCATTTGTATATCTAGGTACATAGTACACTTCTTTCGGCCAGCAATTTCTACACCGATATAAGCCCAAAAGACCACGGTGCGTTGCCGAGGTTGACATTGTCTTCCGCCTTCATATAACCGACCTTTTTATTATAGCACTCTCTGAAGCTTGCGTCGTCCACCCTTTTTAGGGATAT